GTCGACCGCCACTAAGGCGCGCGGTCAACCGTGGGCAGATTTTCCAGAATCTCATACTGATTGTGTGTGTTGTGTTCATGTCGTGTTTATGTGATCCAAACATGATTAAAATAACATAATACTTGCATGGAAGCATGTCTACAGCAGATAAAAACTTCTGAAAGCAATCTCAACATATATAGCATGATTATTTGCATTAACTTGATATACAAAACCCTAAATCATGCATAATCTCAACATATATAGCATGATTATTTGCATTAACTTGATATACAAAACCCTAAATCATGCATAAAAACTCAAAACGAAGAACAAATTTTGCATTAACTTGATATACAAAACCCTAAATCATGCATAAAAACTCAAAACGAAGAACAAATCATCTTTATTCAAATTAAACAATGTTTTAAATCATTTTCAAATTTTAAATATTTCTGTAAATTCGTTCTCAAACTTTTTAACATGGAAAGACCTAGTCTTTATACAAATAATACAAAAGAATTGACTTTTATTCATAAACTAGTCAATTTAGCTCTATAAAACATGTTAAAAACTCTTTAAAAACATTTTAAAAACTAGGTGGGGGATTAGCAGAGATAAACTCGCCTGAGATTTGTAGAAAAACGTTTAAGATGCCATGCCAAAGAAGATCTCCAATCCAAAAGCCAAAAATCACACGAAAATCCCGCATGAAAGCCTCCAATCTTCTCCAAGAATCAAATTAGGGTTTAAAGGGGTTTTGGTGGCTGTTATGGTTCTTAGAAAACAAAAAATATCGTAAACATATGATATTTAAATCAGAGAAAATGGATGTGGGCTTTAGAAAACCAAAACCAATTCAAAATAGGAATCTGACTCTCTGCAGGTTTCGTAGTCGACCGTGGCGGTTGACCGAACTTTAGTCGACCACGGTGGTCAATCGGACTGCGGTTGACCGCGACGGCCGACCGGACTGGAATTTTCCAGCTTCTCATATTTTTTGCCATTGTGCATATTTCGACTCTTTTCTTCCTCACGAATGATCTTGTTTATACTCAAAACACATGGTATACTACTCATATACCATTTAACTATATTTATCAAAATAAATATCCATATATCATAATTAATCACATATTAATTATATTAACACAAATTTTTGGGGTTTTACATTCACCACCACTTAAGAGAATTTCATCCTCGAAATTCCACAATCGTATCTTAGGAATTAATAATATGATAAAAGCACTAAGAGGGGATAATCCAGACAAGGAAACCCTCTCGTACACATCTCGTACCATTAATCCCTAGATATGAATCATAAGCCATATTTAAACTTAACCAATCTAAAATATGTGCATCCTCACTTCATCCTAATTAGACGGAACTTGTACGTCGGGTGAAAAATCCAAACAAAGAACCCCAATATATATACCATATGTTCCGAATAATTAAGAGCTAAGTGTTGAATGACCCATTCTAGAATTAAATATAAATGTGACTAAACAACACATATAATCAAATCTATCAATGCATATAAGCACATTTAAATATCAACACCTTACATGTTCAAACAGGTGCGGGTAGTCGTGATGTACATCCTCCTCGCGCTCCCAAGAAATATCTTCGTCTTCTTACCTGTTCCACTGAACTTTCACTAATGGAATGACTTTGTTTCTAAGCTTTTTATTCTCTCTAGCAAGAATTCATACCGGAATCTCCATCGTAGTCAAATCATCCTGGATCTTAACCTCTGGTGAATTAATCACCCTCTGCTGCTCTTCGTCACGCAAATCCTTCTTGAACATCGAAATATGAAAGACATCGTGTATACTCGACATCGATGCTGGAAGGTCTAATCTATAAGAAACAACTCCAATGCGCTTGATAATCCTGAATGGACCAACAAATCTCTGGGTAAGCTTCCCCCGTCTACCGAATCGTTGAACGCCCTTCATCGGTGATACTTTCAACATAACTAAGTCTCCGATCTGAAACTCTAAGGGTCATCTCCGCTGATCTGCATAACTCTTTTACGGACTCTGTGCAGCAAGAATCCACTCTCGAATCAATACCATCTTTTATGTGGTCTGCTTAACTAGCTCCGGGCTAAGTAATAGACTATCATCTGGCTCTGCCTAACATATAAGCGATCTGCAAGGCCTCCCGTACAAGACTTCGTACGGCGCCATCCCAATGGTAGCTTGATAACTATTATTATATGTAAATTCAATCAATGGGATGTGGTCCTCCTAGCTACCGTAAAAATCTATAACACATACTCTCAGCATATCCTCCAATACCCGATTCACCCTTTCGGTCTGATCATCTGTCTGGGGGTGGAAGACACTACTAAATGATAACTGGCTGCCAAAAGCATCATGAAAACTCCTCCAGAAATGGGATGTGAAGACTGGGCCTCGATCTGATACAATCGTCTCCGGAACTCCATGCAATCTGACAATCTCTCGAATAAAAATTCTCGCATATGTGTTCGCCGTATAAGTCGTCCTTATAGGTAAGAAATGCAGTGACTTTTTCAATCTGTCCACTATAACCGAAATAGAATCATTTCATTTCTTTGATTTAGGCAACCCTACTATGAAATCCATAGAAATATCTGTCCACTTCTACTCGGGAATGGGTAAAGGCTGTAGGGTTCCTATAGGTCTCTGATGTTCTGCCTTAACTAGCTGGCAGGTAAAACACTTAGTCACGTACTCTGTAATCTTTCTAAGCATACCACTCCACCAAAAATGCCTTTTTAGATCCTTATACATTTTCGTCGTGTCTGGGTACACTGTATATCTGCTACGATGTGCCTCGTCAAGTAGTTTCCTCTTCAGCTATAGATTGTTCAGCATGACAATCCTGTCCTTCATCCTAAGGCCTCCATCTACTCCAATAGTCTAATCATCCTTAGGCTCTTTGAAAATCTCCCCCTTACGGGTTTGAATCCAAGAATCCTCTAACTGAGCTCTGACTACTCTATCACTCCAAGACGGCTGTACTGATAAAGCTCCTAAGAAGACACTACTCCCGCCAATCTTTGGCCTAAAATCATAATGGCTGAGTGTATAAAGATCCCGATATAGTGAACACCTCAAATCCGCTAGCCCGCGATGATGCTTACTGCTCAACGCGTCTGCTACTACGTTCGCCTTTCCTAGATGGTACTGTATAGCGAACTCGTAATCCTTTATAAACTCTATCCATCGCCATTGTCTCTGGTTGAGTTCTTTCTGTGAAAAGAGGTACTTCAAACATTGGTGATCTGTGAATAACTCAAACTGTACTCCGTACAAATAATGCCTCTACGCCTTCAGTGCACAGACCACTGCTGTTAGCTCCAAATCATACGTGGGATAATTCTGCTCATTAGTCCTCAGCTGTCTCAAAATATAAGCTACAACTCTCTGGGTCTGCATCAATACTCCTCCAAGACCCGATAAGGATGCATCAGTGTAGACAACAAAAGTCTTATCAGTGCTGGGAATAATCAATACTGGTGCTGAAGTCAACTTAGTCTTTAATGTCTCAAAGGCCTCTTGGCATTCTGTGGCCCAAATAAACTGTACATCCTTCTTAGTAAGGCGTGTAAGTGGTGTCGCGATCTTCGAGAAATCATGAATAAATTGTAATAGCCTGCCAGACCTAAGAAGCTACGAATCTCGGTAACTGTCTTCGGTGGTTTCCAATCAAGTACGACCTCTACTTTAGCCGGATCTACTACATTGCCCTCCCGACTAATGACATGGCCCAAAAATCTAACCTCCGATAACCAGAATTCACATTTGCTAAATTTTGCATACAGCTGATGTTCCTGCAAAGTCTGTAATGCCAACCTCAAGTGCTGCTCATGCTCGGCCTTTGATCTCGAATAGATAAGAATATCGTCGATGAAAACTATCATGAACTAGTCCAAGTATGAACAGAAAACCCGATTCATAAAATCCATGAATATTGCGGGTGCATTGGTCAGACCAAATGACATGATAAGAAACTCGAAAGACCCATATCAAGTCAAGAAGGCAGTCTTGGGAGTATCCATCTCCAGAACCCGTAACTGATGATAACCGGAATGAAGATCTATCTTCAAAAAACACTGAGCCCCCTACAACTTGTCGAACAAGTCATCGATCCTCGGTAATGGATACATGTTTGGGATAGTGACCTTGTTCAAATAGTGATAATCAATGCATAATCGCATACTCCCGTCCTTCTTCTTCACAAAGAGGACCGGTGCTCCCCACGGAGAGTGACTCCGTCCAATGAATCCTTGTGATAACAACTCATCTAGCTGGATCTGTAGCTTCTTCATATCAGCAGGCGCCATACGGTAAGGAGTTCGGGAAATCGGCATGGTGCCTAGCTACAACTCTATGTAAAACTCAACCTCTCTCACTGGAGGTAATCCTGGTATGTCCTGAAAGACATCCTGGTACTCTGAGACCACTCACATCTCACTCAAATCTGCATCCTTATCCCGCAATATCAACTCCTTGACATATGCCAGATATGACTTCGCAAACTGGTTGCCTCTGGAGGTCGCTACCACTAACTCAGATCCATCATAAGCTCGTAAACTGATTGTTTTTGTAAAATAGTCAATACTTACATGATAGGAAGATAACCAATCCATACCAAGGATAACATCGAACTCAGACATACGTAACACGATCAAGTCAATCACGAACTCGGAATCGTCTAAACTGATGATACATATCCTACAAACACTCTCTAAAAGAGACGTCTCCCCTAAAGGAGTAGATACAGATAAAAGAAAATCTAATGGTTACGCCACAAGCTGAAGTCTAATCGTAAAATCGTAGGAGATAAAAGAATACGAAGCGCTAGAGTCAAAAAGAATGCGTGCTGGAAAGGAATTTACAAGGAAAGTACCTTCCACCATCGTTCTGCTCGTGCCATGATCGCGAGGAACAACTGCATATACTCTACCAGTCTGCTGCGCTGCATTGCCTAGAACGTATGGGACTATCTGCCTCTACTGGGTCTCCTGAATGGCTCGTACTTGTCCCTTAATCCTCGGGATTACTGGAGGTGCCTCAATCCTCAACTGCTGCCCTGACCGCGTCTCTGAGTGCGGTTTTGATGCTGTTACTGCTGATTCCTACCCTGCTGGCCTGATGTGGGTGCGCTGCAACACTCTGCTGCTCTGTGTCCGAGCTTGTTGCAATTGAAACAAGCTCCATGAAATTAGTATTGCTGCTGTGCCCTCTGATCCTACTGATGGCCCTTCTTATAGGGACCCTACTGATGTGTGTTAGCCATTATGTTTTGATGATGTTTTACAACCACCATTATCGGTACTAATTGCTTATTGAGTGAAAATATAGTGAATACATATATCAAGCATGTTAGTGTCACAAATGGAGGATTGGATAGAATATGCGCTACAACGATGATATCCAAAGGAGGAGGAGGCATAGTGATGAAGCAACGTTATTTCAAGAACACCAAATTCAATTAGAAGCTTCATCCAAACTCAAGCTATATCAAGACTCAAGAATTGTATTCTCGTGAGGATATTAGCTAGTTTTTATTTTCTCTCTAGTGCTAGAATGTAGGCAAATAGTTTAGATTTCATCTGAAGCTATTGGGATATCAACACACACGTTTTCATACTTATTGTTTTGAACGTATTTCACAAAATACTATTTTTCACAAGTATGAGGACCTATTTGCAAAATTTCTTTTCTAAACAATTTGTTTTTAATATTAAAAATATTTTGTAAAGTTTCACAATTTTTAGAGGTCAAATTAATATTTTATAAATATTTTAAGTAAGTCAAAAATCAGGTTTTTAAGTGTATCAGATTGCGGTCGACCGCCACGGTCGACCGCGCCTGAGCTCACTCGTCAGTGGGCAGCAGAAACTTTCACGGTCGACCGTCGCGATCGACCGTAAGTAAAAAATTTCCCACGGTCGACCGCGAAAGTCTCTGGACTTTGTTAAGTTTCTGAACTGACTCGCGGTCGACCGCGAAAAATTCACGGTCGACCGCCGAATATTTTAAACGGTCATATGGTACAGATCTCAGCGCCGATTTCACACGATCTCTGCGCTGTTCTATTTCCAGGTTTTGAGGGATTGGTTATGGGTTTCAAACAGCTGTGATTTTCTATAAAAACCTATCTTCTTCTTCTTCCTCATTGTCCCAGATCTTTAAAAATCTTTCTAAGAACGTTTTTACAAAGCTTCATTTTCAAACCAGTTTCTTCTGAGTTTTTGTGTTTCACATCCCAGCTTCAGTGTTATCTTCTCTTTGCCATAGGGACATTGTAAAGAGAGGGTTCTTACACCATTTCTACTATTTTGAGAGCTTGATCTTGTGTAGATTAATTGTGTAGGAGTGTGATCTAGTGAGATCAACTATGTAGTGTGAGATCGTGAGGGGATCGCTGTGTAGAAGAAGTTCTGGCTTCCAAACCGAGTTGTGTAGTGGATTTCTCCTCGAGAGTGGGGAGCGGGGACGTAGGTCAGCGGACCGAACCTCGTTAACACATCGCGCATCACAGGATAATGATTCCTAACTCTATCTCCTCTATTTTGATTGCTTTTGGATATTGTGTTTTGTTTGTCTTAATTTTATTGCACCATTATAGCCTTGTGACCCTAATCACCCCCCCTCTAGGGTCCAACAATTAGTATCAGAGCTTGGTCTCTATATTAGTGTTTGGTTTAATCACCTTAGAGAAAAGATCTTATGGAGGCTTCAATGAATGTGCATATGCTAGAGGGACAATCCACTACTAAACCACCACTCTTCACCGGTAGTAACTTTGCTTATTGGAAGGCTAGGATGAGGATTTACCTTCGTTGCATTGACCTTGACATCCTAGAACTCATAGAGAAAAAATATATAGAAAAGCCCAAAGTTAGGACTATGACCGATGGAGAAAGGCACCAAGCTAATCTCAATGTTAAGGCTATGAACGCCTTAATTTGTGGTTTTTCCCCAAATGAATACAATAGAGTTTCAACGTGTGTAACCGCATACGAAATATGGGTGAAATTATGTATCACACACGAAGGAACCCCCCAAGTTAAGGAATCCAAGATTAGCGGACTTATGCATGAATATGAGTTGTTTCAAATGCTTTCAAATGAATCAATTGATGCTATGTTTTCTCGCTTCACTAACATTATCAATGAATTGTATGGTCTTGACAAGAAATTGACTATTCAAGAGACGAACTACAAGTTTCTCCGTTCATTGACTCCGATGTGGGAACCCAAGGCGACGGCGATAGAAGAAGCTCATGACCTTACCACTCTACCTCTCGATGGCCTCATCGGCAAGCTCAAGGTTCATGCGAAGAAGCTCAAGGAAAAAGAGAAGGAGGAAGTGCCCTCACGGGAAGTTGAGGAGCCATCACCAAAATTGAAGACCATAGCTCTCAAAGGAGCTAGTGATAACTCCTCTTCGTCATCGGATAGTGAAGTTGATTTTTCTAGAGAAGTGGCTCATCTCTCTAGAAGAATTTCTAGACTCATAAAAATGAATAAGAAATTTAACCCATGATCTAACAACAAATTTCCTTCACGTGTAGAAAAATGTTTTGAATGCAATGAACCAGGCCATATCGCTAAGGATTGCCCAAGACTTAAGGAGAAGTACATGAAGTACAAGAAGAAGAAGGCTATGTATGCCAGATGGGAGGAATCCGAACCAAGCGATTCAGATAGTAATGAAGAATGAGCTAAACTTGCTCTTTATGATCCCAACGTTTGCTTCATGGTCCTTGAACATGAGGTAATATCCGACACCGAGAGTGAATCCTTTTACATGCAATGTGATCTAGCTACGGCTCTAGAAGAATTGAACATTGAATTTAAAAGAATGTCAAAGGAATTCTCTTCTTTCAAAAAGTTGCATGCTTCTTGTGATGTGAAACTAGAACAACTAGAAACCTCTCTTGAGCTAAAAGATGAATTGCTAGGAGATCTCGATTTTGAGAATAAGCAATTAAGATCCAAGATTGAAAGACTAGAAATTGAGAGTGGTAGGATTAGACCTACTCATGCTTATGCTAATCATCATCACCATGGTAGAAATAGGTTTCATGGTTCTCATACTCATTCATACAAAAGAAATTTTGTGTGCACATATTGCATGAAACATGGTCATATTTCTACTCATTGTAGAATTAAAGATAATTATGAATTTTATGGATTGACATGGGTACCCAAAGGTACTAAGTTCACTAACCATCAATGACCCAAGATTTGGGTACCTAAAGTTACTACACCTTCCTCTCTTGTAGGGGACATCACGGCAACGACGTAAAGAGATGTGGTACCTTGATAGTGATTGCTCTCATCATATGACGGGCAACAAAGAGTTATTTGCAACCCTATCAAGGATTGAAGGAGGTAGCGTCTCCTTCGGTGGTAGTGAGAAAGGTAAAATCATTGGCATAGGTTCTATTGGTGTGAAACATTCACCTGTTATAGAAGATGTTTATTTGGTTAATGGTTTGAATCATAATCTTCTTAGCATTAGCCAATTAAGTGATAAAAGTTTTGATATTTCCTTTAAACCAGACAAATGCATTATTAGTATAAATGGAAAAATTATTTTTGTTGCTAATCGTAAATCTAATGTGTACATTTTTGAGATGAATGAATTAGTGAATCAAGATGTCAAGTGCCTTACGGTAATTGATGAAAACCCTTGGATTTGGCATAAGAGGCTTGGACATGCAAACATGGAATTGATATCAAAATTGTCTAAGAGAAATCTTGTAAAAGGGTTACCTAACTTGCACTTCATCAAAGACACCATATGTGAAGATTGTGCCAAAGGTAAACAAACAAAATCTTCTTTCAAATCCATCAATAAGGTATCGACTTCTAAACCTTTGCAATTACTTCATCTTGATTTATTTGGTCCTATGCGTGTTACCTCTCTTGGAGGCAAACACTATGTATTTGTGATTATTGATGATTTTTCTCGATTTACATGGACTATATTTCTTGCAAATAAAAATAATTATTTTGAAGAATTTTCTAATCATGTCAAAAGAATTAAAAATGAAAAGATTTAAAAGTTGTTAAAATAAGAAGTGATCATGGAGGTGAATTTCAAAATAATTTTTTCTATGAATTTTGTGCTCATCATGGTATAACTCACATGTTTTTCGCTCCTAGAACACCACAACAAAATAGTATTGTTGAACGGAAAAATCGCACCATACAAGAGATGGCACGCACTATGCTAAATTCATTTGATTTGCTAAAATATTTTTGGGTTGCAAATGTTTTATTTTAAATACAAAAGATCATCATGACAAATTTGATTCTAAAATTAATGTTGGTATTTTCTTGGGTTATGCACCTCGAAGTAAGGCTTATAGGGTCTTCAACAAACGAACTCTCGTTGTTGAAGAATCTATAAACGTTACTTTTGATGAGACTAATGTTAGTACACAAGTTGTTTTACCTAGGCAAGATAATGATGATGAGGGAGGATTAGACCTTTTACAACTCAATGATACACCCTCTATAGAAGCACAAAAGGATGTGGATAGCTCCAATGCTCATGAACAAGTTGAACTCCCTAAAGCTTGGAAATTCACATCAAACCATCCAAAGGAACAAATAATTGGGAGCCCTTCACAAGGAGTTGTTACTCGCTCAAAAGCTTTGAGTGTGTGTGGTAATATTGCTTTCTTATCTCAACTAGAGCCTAAAAAGATTAATGATGCTTTAATTGATGAATTTTGGGTTTTAGCTATGCATGAGGAACTAAATAATTTTAAAAGAATTGATGTTTGGAAACTAGTTCCTAGACCTAACAATGCTAGTGTAATTGGTACTAAATGGGTTTTTAGAAATAAACTTGATAAACATGGTATTGTAACTAGAAATAAAACTTGTTTGGTTGCCCAAGGATACAATCAAGAGAAGGGCATAGACTATGATGAAACCTTTGTACCGGTTGCAAGGTTGGAATCTATTAGGATGTTTTTGGCATTTGCTAGCTTTAAAAATTTCAAATTATTTCAAATAGATGTTAAAAGTGCATTTTTAAATGGTTTTATAGATCAGGAAGTATATGTTGAGCAACCCCCCCGGTTTCATAGATCATGCTTTTCCTAATCATGTGTACCGGGTTCAAAAAG